CCACCCCTCCCCCACCCCGTGCCAGGCCAGCTGGAGCCAGAACCAGGCTCAGCAGGAGGCAAGTGGATTCTGTGAGCGTCTTCACTCCCTCTCTGTGGGCCTCAGACTTCGGATGGTGGTGTTCCCGCCTGTCCAATGGGGTAATAATTATTACCCATCCTGGATGCTGTGGGGTCACAACACCCCCCCACCGGGACTCTGTGAGGCCCCAACATGAGCACCCGAGTGACTTGGCTTTGGAAAGCGTTTGCAAGGCCGTTCAAACAGCAGGAATTAGAGGGCGAGGCCCTGTGGCTCGCTGCAGCTGTGAAGCTGTGTGCGCAGCCCACGGTCCCCCGTGGAATTGGGGCCTGAGGAATCCATTGCCTTTGGAGGTTCAATTTGCTCTGCGTGCACAGTGAAGAGGCGCGGCGCCTGGCCTTTCCCTTTAACGGCATCTGGGAACGTGAGCCGCTCAAACCCATCGTCCTCAAAAGGCTCTTTATAGTCCTTCAGATGCTTATTCCGCCTCTCACATCCCAGACACGCAGCTAGACGGGCTCCGTAAATCAGGAGCTAATGCAGGCCTGGTTGAATGCTCCTGACACTCGCTCCCAGCTGCTGAGTGGGAGTGAAGTCTGTGAGTCCCGTGGCCTTACCACGGCCTCCAGTCCCCGCCACCCGTGGGGCTGAGCCCGCGCCTGTGAGCCCCAGAGCGAGGGAAACAGTGTCAAAAGGTGGATTCGATCCGTAGCTGATTTCCAATGGAAGATACAAGGCTGTGGGGGTCATTGAAAAATTACTCCAGTTAATTAAAAAAGAACAAAGCTCTGAGGCAACCGACTGGCGTTTACGCATTTCTGCCCCAGCGCGGTCTCTGTGGAGATGCTAAATTCCGGGGCCGCCCTCGCCACTGCCTGCAGCACGGAGTCCGGGCCGTTAATGATTGACATTGATGGTCTTCGTCATCGGATGAATCCCTCAGGAACTCGAGCATCTTGGCGAGTCGGGCTTGGAAAGTGGGTCGGCTGGTTCCTCCGGAGCAGCCCTCCTGCCCCCGCAGCGAACACGTGACCGCTCCTTTCCACGGTTGAGTGGAGATGACTTGTCATTACGTCCCTCCTGTGTCCCGCGTCTCTCCAGATGCGATCCAGGCCTTTTCTGTTACTTGATGCTCATGTTTAGATTAGGTTTCAGGAGAAAGGGATCAGAAACAGTGGTGTGTCACCCTCGTGGGGTGTCTGCCTGCTCCTTCATCATCTTAAGGGCTCTTGATATAGTTCAGACATGACTCCTTTGTCACTGACATGTACTGAACATATCTCCTTCCACTCGGTGGATTGCCAATCCCTAATAAGTAATCAAGAGCTGCCAACCTTGAGAGAGAGAGAGAGAGAGAGAGAGAGAGAGACCAGCATTAGAGACTACTGATAAAGATGATAAGGACTACTTGGAAAGCAGTTTTACCAACACATCAAACCTGAATCTGACCAAGCTGTGATCGAACTACTAATGAATAGGAAATATCGGGGATGGAGGAACACGGTGAATGGCACCACATGCCTGTGACTCAGCTCATGGGACTCTCTACAGCACAAATAATCTCCCCTCAGCAAGGAAAACTGATAGAGTAAAAGAAACCAGAGAACCATCCCAACCAGTAACAATGTCTGAAACTTATCTGGATCCTGATGAAAGTAAAACTGTGAAAAAAAATTATGACATATGGAGACAGCTACACACACTGGCTATGTGATGTTTTGAAGAAATGAAGGTTAATTTCTTTAAAGTGCGATAATAGTGCTGTGGGGGTTTTCTTTGCTTTTTAAGAGTCCTTCCCTTTCAAAGATACCTACCGAAATACTTACACATGATGCTGAGGACTTGCTTTAATACAATCTGATGGCAGGGGTGGGGTAGCGGGTGGGAGATAAAATAAAACTGAATTCGCCAAGAGTTGATAATTCTGGGAGCTTGGTGATGGGTCCACGGATATTCATTATAGCATCTCCCTCCATAAATATTTGAAATGTTCTGCCATAAGAAGGATTTGTGAGTGGCTTGCTCTGTGCCAGAGTGTGGGATGAAGCATCGCTAATGTCTTGAAAGCGGCAAGTCCCTCTTCACCCTGCGATTTGATTCCCTAGTTTTACATGCTGCTGCTCTGTAAGAACGAGCCCCATGGTGCTGCCTCGCTCTTCACAGCTCCTTTAGCTGCATGAGGAAGGTGCGAAGGCTTCCAGTTGCCTAGCAATGGCTGGCAGCAAATCCATCCCCTGCTCTGTAGCATGGTAGTCAAAAACTGATTATCTGGGTGATTTGGAGATTTGACTCTGAATGAACAATTTTCCCCCCTGGGGCAATGATAAGAGGTGAGCAAGAGACTAGATTGGATGAAGACACTGGCAAGTAAAACGACAGTGGTCAGGGTAGGAGGAAAGAGCAGCTGAGTACTGGACCCTTGAGCTCCGCTGTCCAAGACCTTACAGAGGGCCTGCTCTCTTTTCAGCACCTCTGCAGTTGGACAGCGCCTTGGGACCAGGTTCCCAAGGGTGGGCCTCTATCTTGACTCAGCACCTCCGCCCCCTGGACAACATCTTGGGGCCAGGTTCCCAGGGTGGGCCTCTCTTTTTAGCCAGCACCTCAGCCGCTGGACAGCGCTTCGAGGCCAGGTTCCCAAGGGTGGACCTCTATCTTGATTCAGCACCTCGGCTGCTGGACAGAGCCCCGGGAGGCCAGGTTTCCTGAGCGTGTGTGTGGGGAAGGGGTTTGGGTTAGGGTTAGGGTTAGGTTCAGCTGGTTAGCACACGATGTTAAGGAGGCCAAGGCCCCAGCCTGGAGCTTGGCATCGACCAACTGGCTTGAGAAGCTGAGCTAGCTTCCCTCTATTTATAACCATATTGATAAGTAACAGGGGCTGTTTGCTGGGGAGCCTGAGGTACTGGGTCTGACTCCGTGTAATCAGACCTTCACTCCTGGCAAATCTACCCCAAGTTCATACTCTTCTTTGGGGGGCGGGGATGACCAGCAATGACACGTTTATATTCAAAAGGACAACTAGGGAGGTGGTGGACGGAAAGGAAGCCTGCCCTTCTGAAGTAGTCAACTCTTCTTGCTTAACCACCAGCTGCAGAACTCAGTGGCATGCAACAAAGGCATTGATTGCTCACGAATTTGTCGGTCAGTGGGAATTTGGTGGATCTTGTTTCTGTTCAGCAGGCATCAGCTCCAAGGTGTGAGTGGGGTCGGACCTGCTCTGTGTCCTCTCGTCCTTACTGGACCGGGGGTGACCCAGGGCACATCCTACTCATCAGGAAAGGCAGGTGGGCAGGAGGGCAAGCCAACTCACACAAGTGTACTTCAACCCACTGCTCCTCTCCTGTCTTCGAACTTTTCATTGGTCAAAACAAATCCCAAGGTCAAGCTCAATGTCAGGGGGGCAGGGAAGTGTGCTGTGCCCACAGTGTGCATAGAGAATATTTACTGGATAGTCATTTATCACCACCTCCCCTCCCCCCGACACACACACACACACCTGAAAGGTGGTCTGTATTCTAACGGGAAGAGTCCTGAGAGAGACATTGATGGGAGGGCAAAACTCAACAGCACCCATTCATTCCAGTTAGCAATTGCATAGGCAGGGTCGGCCCTCCTGCCCTTCATAGGTCCTTGAAGGAGGTACAAAATAGATAACTGATACAGGAACCTAGAAGCTGATGGCTGCCATCACAGGGGCTAAGGGAACCCTGGAGGCTGGGAAAATATGCTGGCAGATGTATATACTGATTTCAGAGAGGAAGGGAGGAGAAAGATAGAAGCATCAATGATGAGAGAGACTCATTGATTGGCTGCCTCCTGCATGCCCCCTACCGGGGACCAAGCCCGCAACCTGGGCATGTGCCCTTGACCGGAATCCAACCCAGGGCCCTTCAATCCACAGGCCAACGCTCTACCCACTGAGCCAAACCGGCTAGGGCTGCAGTTTTTTTGAGCTGAGCAGTTATGCAGCATTAAAAGTTCTCTCTCTCTGTGTATCTCTCCCTCTATTTATAGACTCCGGGGGTGGGTTGCGGGGCAGGGATAAGTAGGGCCTCCATCACCACCAGGCAAAGCAGCAAAGGGATTGCCAAGCCCGTCAACAATATATCGAAGATGTGGTTGTGTTTGCACAGAAATCGCTGGCGCATCATAGAGGCTGGGAAGAGCAAGGAGCCCGAAACCAAAACACAGGCCCACTAGTTACTAAATACAATGTTTTCGGGGAGGTGTTAGCAGCTGTTGAAAGGCAGAGCATGAAACAGCATGTGATTCCGTTTCACTTACGCAGCAAGCACACAGGCTCAGTCTGGAAACGGACACAGAGCACCCGGGAAGGCAAGCATGTTGGCCTCTCACAGAGTCCGCGTCGGTGCCCCTCACAGGGGGGCCCCCCCGGAGAGCCCCGGCTGGTCCCGTGGCTGCACCTCCGGGGGTGGGAGACGTGCTCCTTCCTGGAAGAAAGGGAGGAAGTGACTGGTGGGTGTGGTGGACCAGGTGAGTGAGCAGCCAGGACAGGCCTCCTGGGTTCCCAGCGCGGGGAGCGCGGGCACTGCCCCCGCCTGAGGCTTCAGGAGGAGGTGCTGGTCCAAGGAGAAGGAGCGACTGTGCTGGTTTCAATGGGGACAGTCCCAGGCATCAGCGCAGCCCTGAAGGAGCGGGAACCCTCGCAGAGGAGCACCCGGGGGTGGGGCCTTCTCTGGCCTCACCCGGTGCCTGGTACCCCAGACGCTCAGGCAGTGAATGTGGGTGGAGATCTGCCTGGGCATCTGAGCCTGGAGTTCTGGGAGAATCCTGGCCTGGACTCACCATTTTGGGGTCATTGAGGTCCAAGTGGCACTCAACACCCGGGGACCCCCTTCGCTGTGACATTCCTTCCTGGTCTGGCTCATCGTTGCGGCCACCACTGCTGGCTCCTGTTTTCCTTCCAAGCCTTTTCTTCTCCACGCGGAGAATCCCCTGGCCTCAGCCCTCGGTTTCCTCCACTCCCAGCGCCTCGCCACCACCCCCTCTCCACACCCGGGTCCTTTCCTCACTGTGGGCTCTGCACCCTCTTCCAGGCCCTGCCTCTGGCTGCCTCCCCCTCCCCTTCACTCACCGCGTCCCCACACCGTGCGCGCCCTTTCTCGCGCTTTGCAGCCGCTGCTCATCCTTCATGGCCAACCTTCAATGCCACCCGCTCCGTGAAGCCTCCAGCACCTCGCCACCCAGAGGGGAGCCCTCCTGCCCATGGCTCCCGCCTCTCCTCTCCTCTCCTCACCTCCCGTGGGTAAGGTCCGAACTGAACGCGCCTGGACCTTGGAGCCCCCCAAGACCCCAGAGGCAGAACTGAGCTCAGCGCCTCTCACCAGATGTCCCCTCCCCCAGCAGGAAAGGTTCCCCCACCTGCGTCCAGACTCGCTGCACCCACCCCTCCCGTTCTCCACCTTGTGGCTTTCTCCTCCCTCCCACCTGCAGAATCATTCAATTACATCCTCCAATGGGAATTGGGGTGACCGCACCCTCTTGTTACTACAAAGCCGCCTCCCCCAGATCCTGGTTTCTCCCTCTGCTCCCGAGTGCAACCCCCGTGGGGCCTCACAGGGCACGTGGAGTCTCCCTCCCCCAGGCTGTGAACTTCTGTTACCTGCAAACTGCTGACCAGCTCACCCGCCCAGGACCGGGTGCCATGCGCTCAGCCACCCACTACTGCTTAATGGGGGGTTCCCTCCCCACCAGTGGGGTGAGGAGGGAGGAACTCCTCCTTCCTGCGCTTGTCAGGCCTCAAGGTCAGGGACAGTGTGGCCCCACCTTGGTGGCCCAGCACCTGGCTTGGCCCATGGAATTGGCTCAGGAAACGTGTGTGGACCTGATGGTCCCCTCCCCTCCCGGCCCCACTCCACCCTCCCCGAGCTGTCCCCCTCCTTCCGGCACCAAATAGACGCTTTTAAATGTGGGCCCGCTCTCGCTTCCCAAGCCTCTGTCCCGCCTATGCTGAGGGTGGGGATTCTGGACAAACGTTCAGAGGCCACGGTGAGTCTCTGCAAAGGTTTCCTGCAGGATCAACACCCCGGGCCGTCCATGTACCATCTGGAAACCACCCCCGTCCCCGCTCATCTCCAAGTGATGCTTAATTTTTCTAGAAATTAACTTGCACGGTGTCAGGCCACCTGAACGCACCCTGGAACCTCTCTATTCCCATCTGTGAGCAGCGACGCGCCGAGTGACGCCAAGATTGTCTCCGGGGCCGTCTCCTGTGCCATCGCTGATTAAAACGTAGCTGACTGCGGGGGCGGGGGCGGGGGAGGGGGGGCTCGCGCTCTAGCGGCTGCAGGCGAGCCAGCAGAAGCCGGGGATAATGAGCAATGGTTGTGGAAAAACTGATAATGCGCCCGCTATTCTATCGACTGGGGCTGCGGCTTCAGTTAATCGCGCTAAATGGCGGGGCTGGAGCGGCATCGCGCTGGCCTGGCTGCTCCGTCTGCCTCTGAAGATGCCCCTTTGTCTGAAGCTGGGTCCCTGTTTCTTTCTTTTTTAACTGATTTCAGAGAGGAAGGGAGAGGGAGAGAGAGAGATAGAAACATCCATGATGAGAGAGAATCATGGATCGGCTGCCTCCTGCACGCCCCACAGGGGATGGAGCCCGCCGCCCAGGCACCCAGGCCTGTGCCCTGACTGGGAATCGAACCTTGACCTCCCGGTTCATAGGTCGATGCTCAACCCCTGAGCCATGTGGGTCCTTCTTTCTTTCTCCTTAAACTCCATTCATACGAGGTGGCTCTTGGCCGGCGGCCGCTGGTGGGGGTGGGGGGAGTTAGGAAGGCATCAGAGCTGGGGCTCCCTCCCACTGGCGTGTGGACCAGGCACGCTGCGCACAGGATAACGGGGAGCTCGTGACCCCAGAAGCTGTTGTCCTGGCAGGAGACAGGCACCCCACCCGCAGTCTGGGTGCTGCCTGTTCAGGGCCATGTGTTCAGCTCCAGGGTCAGTCTAGGAGTCGGTTTGAGTCCTGCCTCCTCTATTTTCGAGCCACGCCACCTTGAACCTCAGCCCCTGGTCTAGTGGCATTCCCGTACCCACGTCCCAGAGCCCAAGCATTCGATGGGCTTGAACCTTCTACCTAAGATGATGCTGTGATGTGTGGCTCTGAGGCCCCCAGTAGGGTGCTGCCTGACCCCCTGCCGGCCTCTGCAGCCCCACCTCTGCCCGGCACAGGGGGCGGGAGCCCAGCACCCCCACGGGACCTCTGCAGGGGACGCCCCTCTGAACTGTGCGAGGCTCCATCAGTCTCCGCCCAGATCTGCCTCGGAGAATGGCTCCGTGGGTGTGAAAGAGCAGCTGCCGGCTGCGATTTCCCTGGGGCCCTGGCGATTATTTATCCCCTTCACAGCCCAGAGAGAGGATTGCTCACAGCCAGCCCCGCATGCTGCTGCGCACACACAGCCCTGAAATCCTGACCCCGGGGTGGAGGGCGCGCCTGGAGGGAGCTGGCGCCCAGGAACCGCCCCTTGCGAACACTCCACTCCCCCATCCAGGCCAGAGAGCGTCCCCCGATGGTCCAGGCTCAATCATGCTTGGAAAGGTGATTCATTAAATGGACCATCAAAGGCGAATTGGCGTGCCCACCTTTTGGTGAACAGGATGATGCTCCAGCCACGGAGCCGCTGGCCAGGACTCCCCTGTGGCCTGTTAGTGTGGTGGGTCCCTGTCGCGGATGTGTCAGCGCTGAGCGGTTTCCTGTCCCCGAGTGAGACGCCGCTCAGGGTGAAATGTTTATATATAGACCGCTGGATTGGGCTCGCTAATCCTGATCTCGGGCTGGCGCATCTGTGTTCGCATTTCCCTTGTAGGTGCTGCTCTTGCCTGTGTTTGGCATCAAAGTCCTGCCGTCCTTGTGAAAGGGGGTGGGGAGCCCGTCCTGCTGCCATTGTCCCAGATCCTTCAGAGCAGCTGGTATCCGCGAGGGGAGGGGCCATGTGCTCCGCGAGGCTCGGAAAGCCTGGCCTGTCCTTCATCCACTGGACTGCATTTTCTGTGGGTCGGTTTGCGGCCCGATGTCCTTCCTGCCGCAGGTTTTCTATTCCTGTTTGAGACAGCTTGATCATTTCCCTTTTTTTCCTGTGCATTTGTCTGTATCATCTTTTAAAATGTTGCACGCAAAATTGTTTCTCCTGCTCTTTTCATTGCTCTGAAGAGCTCTCTGGCCTGGCTGGTGTGGCTCAGTGGTTGAGTGTCATCCCATGCACCAAGAGGTCATGGTTCGATTCCTGGTCAGGGCACATGCCCAGGTTGCAGGCCTGATCCCCAGTACGGGGCATGCAGGAGGCAGCTGATCCATGATTCTCTCTCATCATTGATGTTTTTCTCTCTGTCCCTCTCCATTCCTCTCTGAAATCTATATCATCTATATCTATATCTATATCTATATCTTCTCTGTCTCCCTCTCCATTCCTCTCTGAAATCTATATCTATATCTATGCCTATATCTATATCTATATCTATATCTATATCTATATCTATATCTATTAAAAGAAGTAAGACTCAGGAATAATCCTTGACCTTCCCCCACACTTTGGGACAGAATTGAAGATGGAAGGCCTGTTAGGACTATCACCACAGAGCCACTAACCATAGTGTAATCAGAACTTGGGGTGGCCAGGGGGGCCCAGCAAGGCCTGAGGTCCAAGTCCCTCTGCGACTCAGTCTCTAGACGGCCCAGCCGGCATCTGTTCACTAAACATAGACTCTTCCATCTCCCTGTGAACCGCCTCACTCCCTTTAAAGACCCGGCCCTGTCCTTCCTTCTCCTTCGTCCGGAAGGACGCACACACCTCATCTTGCATTTCTAACCTTTGGAATTCTCATGCTCTGCGAATTCCCCTGCGCTATGTTCTTGCTGTTCTTCGGTTAGTCTGCCTTCTTTTATTTTTTACATATTTTTGTTGGTCCAGAGAGAAAGGGAGAGGAAGAGATAGAAACATCCATGATGAGAGAACCATTGATCGGCTGCCTCCTGCACACTCCCTCCTGGGGATCAAGCCCATAGCCCAGCATGTACCCTGACCGGGAATCGAACAAACCGTGACCTCCTGGTTCATAGGTTGATGCTCAACCCCTGAGCCCCGCCGGCTGAGCTGCCTTATGTTACTTTAACCATTGGAGCAGCTAGAAGAACCAAGGGGGGCAGAGGGAGGAACCCATCCCCACATCCCTCATGGGAAATAGTGAAGCCGAATCCAAGACAGTGGGAGAGACGCATCAGGCCTCACTGCCTTTGAATCATCAGGAGGGCTCCGGTTACCTGCGGCTGGGGTTACCTGCGGAGGGGGGGGGGGGGCTGTGTGTGGAGCCCCACTGCCCTGGAGCCCCCCGGCTCTCCTTAACCAGGAGCCGCCCTTTTCCGAGCGGTGTCTGCGCCTCTCGGCAATTGAACTGTCCTGGAACAAAGGCCCTTTTGTAGGTGCTGGGCTTCCCGTAACTGTTCCTCCCTCCATGTGTCTGGAGAAGAGTTCACCGAATGACACGGTGATGAATTCCATTTCTTGATCACAAAAGCACTGGGGGGGTGGTTGCTATGGCGACCGGGGACGGGCCAGTCGATGAATTTGGAGAGGAACCGTGATGGATGTCGCCAACCCTCGGCAGGAAGTCGGAGGCTGAAGTGACCACAGGGCCTCGCCTTCTCCCCCCATCGGCTCCGCGTGGGCAGAAGCAGACCAGGCGGTGGGGGCTGTGCAGGATGAGAAAATCGGGGGGCCCTGCCTGGTGATGCTCCCAGCGCCTGGGTCTTTCCAAACGTGTCTGCACGATGCAGTCTGTCCCGCTCTCCCGGCGGCTGTGCATTGAAACAAATAGACGTCCACCAACTCCCGGCGGCACACGGGGAGGAAACAGCTCCCCGGGCAGGGCTGGGGGCGGGGGGCAGGCCTGGGAGGGCTTTCCTGGTGTGCTAGCCGCCCTCAGGGGCATGGACGGGCCCTTAGCCTGTGAGGTGTGGCTCAACCCCAGGTAGACCCCTGCCCTGGGAGGGTGTCCCCGGAGAAGGGCCGGAGTGGGGGCTTCTCAAGTGTGGGGTCCAGGGCAGGGGGCCTCTTGCCTGTGGCAGGAAGGGGGTGCGCTCTTGGGCTCCTCCCCCTCTCCCCCACCCCCCCACAAGGGCTCTGCCCTTAAGACCCAATCACCTTCCAGAGGCCCCACCTAATTAATACCTTCACCTTGGCAGGCCCCCAAGCAATCAACCTGTGATGCCGATCGCTGCCTGTCACCTGTCACCAGGAACCCGACCTGCGGCAGCAGGTGCCAGAGGTGACCCCAGTGCCCGGCCAGGTTAGAGTTTGGAGCTGGCCCATCCACCAGCTGGTTGGCAATGAGGACCCACAGGGGTGGTGGGTGGGACGCGGACAGACCCCCACCGGGGAGTCTAGTTACATAGACACGTGCACCTGCGTCTGACCTACTTTTTGCTGTGGCTCAGGGTACTGTACACCCGGAAGGGCGGATGTCAACTCGCGGAGAACTGTTAGCTATGCAAATGCTTCTCGTCTAATAACAATTCAGATTAATTTTGTCTGGGAGAGATGCAAATGACTTCCGTCCCGCAGAACAGCCAATCCCAACGGTGACCGTGTTGCTGCCCTGGCGTCTAGCCATCAGCCGGCTTTGTGCCTCGCACAGCTGCCTCGCTCCGGTCCCCGAGAGCCTGCCCGCACCCGGCCTCTCCCGCTCTCTCCGGACCAGCGCTCCCACCCTCCGGCCCCTTCCCGGACGGGCTCTGGCTCACGGAGTCCCGGCTGCCTCACGGCTCCAGGACATTGGTAGGGGGAGCATGCTCTCCACCCTTTGGAAGTTAAACTTTGGCACCGAGCACACAGGCACGCAAAGGCATTGCTGCTTCGCTGCTGGTGAGAGAAACAGATTGGAAACGAATGTGGATCCCTAAGGAGCTGGCTGACTCCATTGCGGTGCAGCTGTTCCCAGGGATGAGGCGGCTGCGGATTTGTGGTGGGGACACACTCTGAGGTTTCACGTTCAAATAAAACGCAGCAGGAGCAGGCCGAGGACCAGAGGTGCAGACCCTCCTCTCTACAAAC